TTCTTCTCCTTTTTTTTTTTTTTTTTTTTTTTTTTGTCTTTTTGAGACAGAGTCTCGCTCTGCAGTTCAAGCTGGCCTTGAGCTCACTTTGTAGCCCAGGCTAGTCTCAAACTGCCAACGATCCTCCTGCCTCAGCCTTCCGCGTGCTGGGATTACACGCATGCCCACCATGCCCGGCAGGAATTTCTTTCTCACTCCGGAATTTCATGTTAACAATGGATCTGTATCTAAAGAAATACAGCCTCAGTGCTTCCAAATATTCACCTGCCTAGCAAATGTCCTCATTTCTCTCTGTCAAGGCCCAATACCTACAGGTTCCTCCCTCCTTTTTCATGAGCTGGCTCAGAGCGCCTTCCCTTTCCTGCTCACTGTGCTACAGTGAGATCCTGGCTGTTCAGATCCTCCTATTGGGGACCTTGGACAGCGCATGCATAAGCAAGGACACTGACCCTGATGCACGGAGGAACACAGAGCCATGACCACCTTCCTCTTGCATGCTTCCGACAATGCCACCCACCTGCCATTACCCACAGAACCATTATCATCCCTGACCCAGTGCATCTGTGCAAATGGATGTGACTGAAACCTCGCCCTCCAGGCAGCAGGATGGGTCAAACGAGTCACCACAATGACAAGGGGGGAGCGGGGATTCTGGCCCACTAAGCGACATCCTAGGTGGACATACAACCTGGTGGCCCGGTGGGCTGAACTCAGTTTGAAGAGGGGTATCTTCTGGGGCCCGCATAGCATCTGAATTTTCATTTACCTAGTTGCTCACACCAACACATCAGGGTATTCCCCCTACAAATCTGGACTTCCAGGGTCTTGTTGCTGTTACTATGGTTTTCAGTCAGAAGAACTGGCCACGCCAGACCCACGTTCCCGCACAGCAACAGTCGCCCAAAGTCAGGTACGAGTGATTCCTTTAGATCACTCACTCAGCATCGGAATTTCAAATATCACACGTGAGTCTGCCGGACACGTTTCATAAACAGCGTGTCGGAGGCGGGGCTCCGATCCTGTCACAGTGTCCATTCCCTGCACACCCCACTCAGTAGGGAAGCTGCCTGCCTGGCGTCTTCTGGCACCTGAGTCTGTCTCCCTGGAGAAGCGGGTGTGAGCCCAGGGAATTGTGGGGCTGCTCTTGTGTGGCGGCACTGGGGGCAGGGTGTCAGGCAGCACAACTGACTGGGTGACCTCACCCACCTGGTCCTGCGGCTGATGCCTCCGCGATGTGTGAACTCGGCCACCAGCCCAGACCTACCCCTTATGAACTCCACAGGGTCCTCACCTCCAAGTTATCCAAGTAAGCAGCCACGTTGCTCTTCAGCTCTGTCACACACAGAGACACCCAGTGGAATCTCTCCTCTAAGTCATCAAATTCCTTATCTTCTTCTGTCTGGAAGTGAAGTGTTGCTCATGAGGGCTGGGAGGATCCACAAGGGGGCAGTGTACAACCAGCTCCCGCATCCCAAGCCTCACTGGGGACAAGCTTTCCACAGACTCGCCCACCAGAGCTCCTTCCTCCAGCCCCAAAGCTGAGTGCGACAGTTAAGAAAACAGTGTGACTCAGTGACTTTTCATTTGGACCGTGGAATCAGACACATGAGCGTGGAAGTCCTGGTTCATTTGCTTCCTAGCAGTGAAACACACCACGGCGTGTGTTTTACCCTCTCTGTGTCTGTTTTCTTGCCTATCTGCCAAATGAGGATAGTAAGAACACCAATTTCATTGTATGGATCCAGTAACCCTGGTTTACAGGAAGACCTCAACCTCAACTGCTACTAGTAGCTCTCTTGGCACAATCCCAGAGATCAGCTCTCTTATCTGCAGAGATACCCCAGAAGATGGGCTCACACTGGCTCTTCAGAAACAGGGTCCTCTTTGGGGCACCTCATTATCTCAGCCTCAGCTGCCTCACTTCAGGAAGGAGCCTCAGCCTCCTGCCTCACCTACTGCACAGATTCTGGTCCCTTGGGAGGATGTGGGTGACTTCCTACCCACACCATGCTCACCCTGGGCACCAGCCCCGCCTCCTGCTTCAGCAGCTGGCTCAGCCGGGTGGTTTTCTTGGAGAGGGTATGTGTGTTGATTCGAGCCAGCCGCTCCCGGAGGGTCAGGTGCTCTACTTTGGTGTACTTGGAGGCTGCACCAACACAGGAAAGGGAAGACACCTTCAGTAACCAGGGCTGATCCAGGAAGCCAGAATCCCTGACACACCTTGCTGGTCCCTCTGCTCCATCAAGATCCATCATCAGAATGGGGAGTCACGGAGGGAGAGTTCACTGCTAGGGCCCTCTGTCACAGGTGTGAGCTTCCCACCTGCCTGACCTTGGCACGTCACCACCCCTCAGGGCTTCAGGTGCCTCATCTGTAAAATGAGGCTGGCCACCTTGCAGAGTTGCTGCGAGGATTACACAAGGCTGCAGGTATGAAGAGATGTCATAAAGAAAGTCCCAGAAAATAGTGATTTGTCCAGGATCCCTTGGCCAATTTTAGCCAGTCCAGCTGGAAGCCGCACTTCCAGCCCTGGCTCAGTGCTTCCTACTCATCTAGTACCTGTCATCATGGGTGGAGAAACAAGCAGGGAGGAATCGAAAGACACCACATACAGTGTGGCATGGTGATGAGGACCCCAGGCCTCAGTGTGAAACCTGGCTCTGTCCCTTACCAGCTCTGTGACCAGTAACAGATGATAAAAGCTCTCATTTTACCCAACTGTGAAATGGGGTTAACAGAGCCAACCTCAGAAGCTTAGCACAAGAGTCAAGTAAGATAAAGAAAGAAAGATAGCTCAGTTACTCCTTAAAAACATCAACTGATCACTACCCTCTTTGATCACTGTATACTGTATACATATGTTGAATTATCACAGTACCCCATAGATATCTGCACAACTGAAATAATAACTTGAAAAGGAAATATCAGCTAAGTTATCATGACCATATTAACTCTGTGTGCAACTAAGTGGCTCTATACTTGGGACACTGTTCCATTTTCCAAATCTTTCTATTGCAGCAACTAAAAAGACAGGGTCCACCCTGCCCGCACTCCAGTATTCAGTTCTCCACATTGCAGCAGCCACATACTTTGGACGGGGTTGACCTCACTGGCTCATGGGATAGGTGCTTACTGGACCAAGCCAATCCACAGAAACCTGTCCTCGTGGCAGTGGTGGCTGGTTCGGTAGTGATGGGCTCATACCCAGGCCTAAGCTAATCAGTTCATGTCATTTTCCTGACCACAGTGATGGCTTCATGGTGAGCACGCAGCCTGTAGGTCTTCACACCACGAAGCGCCAACTCAATTTTTATGGCTAAAGGGAGAGAAATCCTATTTTAACATAAAGGGTATGGGTGTGTAGACACAAGTTTTAGAACAACAATAGCCACTTAGTACTCTGAGGGAAACCAGCTTGAAGATGAAGCCAATATAAAGAGCAGGGACAAGAGAACGCCAGGAACATGCAGTTACAATTTTGATCAAATCAAACTTAAAGCCTATATTATCTGGATGTATAATTACAAGCACCACTGTATCTTCTTTATTGGTGAAGCCAGTGTTTGTAACTGGACGCATTCTCACTGACATAACCCCTAAAGGTCCCAAGTTCTTACCCACTTCCTTGCGCATCTTGTACTCATTGATGTTGGCATTCACGTCCTGGAGGGCAGAGGTTGCCCTCTGAAGGACGGGGTAGGCACTGGCATCAGGGAGTGTGTTCTCCAGGATTTTCTGCAGCAACAATGGGTACTTGGTAATCCTCTGCAGAGGAATTACCAGTATGAAACTGAGGCCTGAAGGTCCAGCTTGTGGCCTAAGGGAGAAGGCTGGTGTTAGGCAGGTAAAGCCCACCATTCAGGGCACCTGGAGCCCTGGGCTATGTTTGTACAATCTCAGGCAAGTCACTCTCTCCCCTGTGGCCCTCACTGTCCTCATGAGTAACCTGTGAGGTCCAGATGCTGGACGGGCAGTGTCAGTCCCAGCCTCGCCTCCCCACCTGTACCAAATCCAATGGCCCACTTTCTGCTCTCAGCTTGCAGGTCTCTGCCACTTCCCCTTGAACACATTCTTCTCTCAGCCCTAGAGACCCCAGGCTGTCTTCTCTTCACTCCAAAGGCTGCTCTCTCAGCCTTCTCTGCTGCTCTGTCTCCAACACTGAAGTATTCCAGGGCCTCCTCTCCACCCGCCAACTCTGTTAGTGACCTCATCTGACCTTATGGTTTTAAATACATCCCAAGCCCACATTTCTATCTCTAACTTCTGTGTATCTCTAGCTTTCTATCTCTTAACTCTATGTTGAGCATCCACATGATATTTCACTTAAATAAAATGGCCTGCTGCTTTTTGAGAGTCTGGAGGTTCTAATAAGGGAGTGCAGCTACTCACAGACCTTTGGTTGAACAGTCCTCCTCTCTACGGGGATGGGGGGCTCAGCTACTGCCTTTGACCAAGTGTGTACCTTTGGGAGGGACTCACACAGAGCAGTGAGGGAGTCTCTTAGTTACTTTTCTGTCAGTGCTAAAACAAAATACCTGACACCCAAAGTTAACGAGGGAAAGGTTTATTTAGCTCAAGTCTGTAGAGGTTTCAGTCCATAATCGGCTAGCTCCAAGGCACAGTGGCTTGGCAGAGGAAATGACAGAGGAGAACCAGTTCAAGGCAAGCAGAAGATAACAAAAGCAAACAAGCAAGGGACCTTAATAGAGTCTTTCTAACCCTTATACTTTATTCAGGCTACTTAGGGTGGGTAGCGCTCACACCCTTAATCCTAGTGCCTTTGGGCCTAGCAAATGCACTATGAATCAATTCTAGCATTAGACACCCTAGATCTAGCCACCACTGAAAGTGCCACACCTATGACTACATGACACTTTGGGGATGGGGCATCTGGACACAAACCATAACAAGGAGGAAAGGGACACCCACCAGGCCAGCCAGATCAGCTGAATCAACCCTGGCGTCAATGCAGTGATGGATATTGCAATCAGGTCGCCCTTACACCCTGTTGCTATTTATTTGGTGGGGGGCAGTTGGGATTTTTTGAGACAGGGTCTCGCTATTTGGTCCAGACTAGCCTTGAGCTCACTATGCAGTCCAGCTTGGCTTTTACTTGTGGTGATCCTCCTGCCTCAGCCTCCCAAATGCTGGGATCATAGGGATGTGCCACCACGCCCGGTCTCTGCTGTTTTTTTAAAAAATCACAGGAACTTAATTTTTCAAGATGCATTTAAGGTAGAAATACTGTGTGCTTTAATATAAAGTTGTAAATAGCTGATTTATAACAAAAAAATCATAATTCCTGTAACTTCTTTTAAAGTTTATCACTTCAATAGATGAAACAAACAATAAAATGTTCACTCTTGTTCAGTGTAGGTGGAAATATGGGAATGTGTGCTGCATTATCCTACTTTTTTAAAGGTTTGAAATTGTTATTAGAAAAAGTAAAAAAGAAAACAAAGCACTGGAACAAATGCAAATGGTGTTGCGGTCTATTCCAGAGGCGCCCTGATGGATGGATGGCCGTGTCCAGGCCCCTTCCTGATGTCTGGAATTTCATCTGGAGTCCCCTGTGTCAAAGGCAGCTGGGAACAGGGTCTAGCAAGCTTTTCTAGATGATGACTGGTGTCCAGGAAACCCACAGAATTTCAGCTTGTAACGTCCAAGTGTGCTGCCTATAGGAAGCAAGTGCTGTTCAGCCCCATTGCTTGGTCTTTCGCTGGTGTCTCCCTTGCCTCTGCTTCTTCCTAAGGAAAAATCTCCAGACCAAATGTCTAAGGAAGATCAGCCATGAGGCCAAGAATAGGCAGAGCAGGTGGGACCGCTCCAGGCTGCATGCATGGGGAGGCGAGCGGGGTTATCCAATGGGCCGCCTCCACTGTCCATCTGTTCCCACCCAGGGTGTCCTGGAGCTTGGCTGACAGTGGGGAGTGGAGGTGGAAACAGTTGGCAGATATTTGCAAAATTCCATCCTCTGAGCTTAATTTTCCTGGGAAAGAGCCAACTGCCTCCTGGGAAGCAGTTTTACCTTACAAGTGAAAGGGCATGGGAGATAATCCCTCAGAGGGAGGATCACATGCCTTCTTCAAAGTCAGCGAGGAAATCATCACTAACAAACTAAAACCACTACTAATGCACAGTGGTGGCTGTTCACATTTATACCCTTTCCAAGGTAATTTGGAGAAAAATTTTATGTAATCTTTTAGGTGGACACCAAAACCAGAAGAACATGCAGTTCTGGATGAGTGTGAGGAAACAGGACTTCTTCTAGTCTCTTGGCGGGAGTATCACTTGGCAAAGACTTCTTGGATAGCAGTTGGGCAATTCATGAAACGTACAAACCCTTTATTCCACTGACCCCACCTGGGAAACCTACCCAGAAAAGTACTGGTTTAAGCAAACAAAGATAAAGGTAGAAGTTATTCAGCAACTGTATTTATGATTGCAAAAAACTGAAAACAGTCCAAAAATCCACCAACAAGGGATGACTCAAATAAATCAGTCTATAAGCTGTCCTGGAAGGAACTCTGTGTAGCCATTAAAAAGAACATGGGAGAACTATTCATACTGTTGTGAAAAGATATTCATAACTATTCTGATTCAGTGAGAAAGCAAGTTCTAGAACAGAATGTAGAGTAGAACACCCCTTAAAAATATATTCCCTGCTTGTCTGTCTGCTTATCTACCCATCTGTCTGTCTGAAAATATACAGAAGGAAATTTGGATGGAAAACGTTAACTACTGGGAGAGGAACGAAGAAATTCGAGACCAGGAGAGAATGGACTTTTACTTTCTATATCTGTGTATGCTTTTCTTTTTCTTTTTTTTCAATAAACACATGTTACTTTAAATTTAAAACAAACAATGAACTGATAAAGGAAAAGAAAGATGGCTCTGTGCCTTGTCCAAACTGAGCTGCCTCAGCCCTCATTCTGGAACTTGGGTGTTTGTGCTGGCCCGATGCAAGTCTGTCTCCACCCTTAGGATACACCTTAGGCACACCACCCTATGCCTATGGCAGAGCTCCCTGCCCGCTGCAGAGGGGCATCTTTGATCTGCTTGGCCCTCAGAGGCAAGTGTTCCCTTGAAAGATAGGATAAAATGAACATATGCCCAAAGAGGTAAATGACAGGCATTTTGGAACCACACAGAATCTCATTAGAAGTACCATCCATGCTGATATCTAAGAAAGTACTACTTTTGGCTAGCATGGTAATTCTGGTTGGCCAAGTTCAGGAAAGTATCCAATGGCCATAAGCACAAGAAAGCCAAGATCATTGTTTCATGAGGGATGAGATCAAAGAGCATGCTCCTGGCATAGCCTGAGACCCAGTGCTCTGGCTCAGGGCTCCTGGGAACCTGCAGGCCTTGTGGGTACAGGCATGGAGTGGGCAGGGACATCCCTCTGAACATTCACAGACTAAACAAAGGCTTCGAAAGTGCTGTGATTTTGAGAACCATAATATCTGTAACACTTGAACTCTATCCATGACACGGCATAACACTGGAACTTACCACAACACTACCTTTTACACACAACACGCAAGTCATCTGTGAGAATATCACCCTGCCTTGTGTTCTCTGCCTCCCCAGGGGGTCATGTTATTCCTACTTCAATCATGTTATTTTCTTCTTCCTCTTACCATATACAAGGAAATCAGATATGTTTTCTAATAGCTATTCTACAGTACATGCTCTTCTGATCCTTCACTTTCCTGTGTACTGCTTGCACAGAATGGCATGTCTTTTTCTTCCCTTCAATCCAGACTTATTTGTTATAAGTAGATGTTAGCATCTGAATGCTTCATTATGTCTTTTAATGTCATGTGGCCCGGCATTTGCATAAGGAAATAAACATTTTATTAGAAATTTTCTTTTCTCTCTTTTTTACTCTTTTGTTTCTCCTTTATATTACAGTTAAGTCATCAAATTGATTCTTTAGTTCTGAATATTAGGTAGGACTCTTCTCAAGCCCTATCTCAGGATCATAAATGTTTTCAATATTTGTTATAAAGAGGGGGCAGTGAGACTGATGGAGTTGAGAACCACAGCATGGTCTCAGAAATAATATAATTCCCACTCAGCTAAGACAACTAGAATAGCTGGAATTCATGGAGTGTCCCTTGGGTCACTCCATGAGCTACCTTACTACCTTACCTGTAAGGGGCGATCCAGGTCTGCCACCAGGTTGCCTGGCTCCAAGGCCTATGAGAGCAGCTCAGACCGCAGATGATGTAAAGAACAGCAGCTTGGTGCCAACTAGGGCTCCACTAGCACTGTTAGTATGTCTGTACCACATGCCAACACCAAACGTCTGGGAAATGTTATACCTTAGCCTCTAGCTTCTCCTACGAAATCAACAGACCTGGCTACAGGGAATCACATTCCACATGACACCCAAGGCAGGTGGTTTGCAAAACATGGCTGTAATTATTCCCCTCCTTGTCTCCACAACCCTTTGAATGTGAATTTGGAGGGCCTCCCACCCAGATGTGAATCTGTTCCCCTCCCCTAGATCTGGGCTAGCTGTACATGACTTGAGTGACATGGATGCTTCTGAAAGGCCTTGCTGTCACCACTGCCCTGACAGTCTTCAACTGCCACATGAAGCAGCCATCCTGCAGGAAGAAGAGAGAACCCGTGGCCACAGCACAGCCATCTCAAGTGTCCCAGATCGTGAAAGAGCTCAGCCAAGATCAGCAAAGCCCAGGAACTGCAGATCCATTGGTGCTCTTTCACGGCAGAAGAATCTTTCTGCTGGCCCCAGTTAAAGTGCTAATATGCAGAAGCATGAGCTAAATAAATGTCTACTTTAAGCCATTATGTTGGGGGTGATTTGTTATCTGGCAAGAGCTACTTGATACAGACACAACCCCTAAGGCTGTGCTGCAGCTGCACTCCACAGGTGCCTTAGTCTTCACTCCTCCCTTTCATCCTACACCCAGCTCCCTGCTTCCCTGGTTCTGCCATCTACCTCACTGCTATAGGATTTAGAGGCCCTGGCAACACCTACATGTGCAAGACCCACAAGTGGGAAAAGGGCATAGTTACTTATGAAGCAAGTAGCTAGAAAATAGGTTCTTAAACAAAAAGACTTTGGTGGAAAGAGGGAGATTGAGGAGTGAGAAAAAGAAAAAGGAGAGATGACAGGAGGAGCCACACGAGATCATCACCTCCAAATCTACACTACTATTCTCTTGCTGCTAATGGGATGTCAGAATAAGATAAATTAATAATAACAAAAACCTCTGTTTTCCTCCACTACTCCGATTTTCAGAAAATGATCTTCATCTACCTCCATGTAGTGAGCTTGTCTTGGGGAAGACATAACCCTTTTTTATAGATAGAAAAGAATAAGAACAATTTGCAGGGAAGGATGAACAAATGACTCTTAAATACACAAAAAAGATGACCACCTTAAGTCATACGATAAATGTAAGTAAAACCGTATTGAGACACCCTTTTTCACCTGTTCCCCAGTGCAAATATCCTAACGTTTGACAACACATTCTGGTGCTGGGGCTGTAGGGAAACAGGCAGGCTCATCTGTTGCTGATGGGAATATAAAGTGATGCAGCCTTTACTGGGGGAGATGTTCTAGTTTATCAAAACATTCAACAGACACTCCCTTTGACCTAGAAATTCCTCTACTGGAAAAGTATCTTACATTTAAACTTGCACCAGAATGAGACAACTTATATTAGTGAATAATGAATAAACATTGTAGTGCTGTCTATAATGTCAAAAGAACAGGAACAAACCAAATGTGTGTCTACCCACAGAGACCAGTTAGATAAACTGTGGTCTAGCCACCTGGAGGAAGAACATGCCTACAGTCAAAGGATCATAAATTGTTATGTGTTGAAATCAAAGACCTCCAAGAGAAATATAAACATAATGAGATTTTTAGAAAGACACAAACTTTCATTTAAAAGTCAGAAAACTAAGGGTGTTTGGAATTGCTTGTATATACAGAGAGGAACTACACATAGATACATAAGAAATTCTAAATGGTTACCTTAAGTTTTGGGGTGGTGATTGGGTAGATAAAGGGACAGAGTTGGGAAGGTTTTTTTTTTTTACTATATAAATGTTTATGTGTTACAGTTTTTGAATCATGTAACTATGTTACTCATCCAAAATTTTACAGTTAAAAAATGTGTTCTCTGCATTTTTCTACCTGGACTCCCACCCACAGCTGCTAGTTTGGGCTGTGAGGCCACTGGGAGTAGTTCCGACCTTTTTCCGTGGGGCGGGACTTCAGCCTTCTGTAGAGAGGGGCGTCAAGGTGATACACACCTGCTTCCCATCCCTGGTACTGACTGCCCCTGCTTCCTACCATGTCACTGCCCTTCCCTACCATTGCCTAAGTGCTGTTCACTAAGTGTTTCAGGTTCTGTGCCTCTGGCTATATCATAGGATGCTGTGCCCTGCCCCCCGGCAGATGGATAAAGCAGTGATCAGCCTAGGCCAATAAAATGTGAGAAGAAATGGATAGCACTTCTCAAATCGAGGCTTCAAAACCAGCACTGGGCCTCTACAGCTCTGGAGTCCTTTGTTAGTTACTGCCAGTGCTCCAGACAGCGGCTGCTGAAAGGGTGGATCCTGGAGTGAGGACGAGTGAAGGGGAGAGTCCCCAGTGGATCATGACATCTGAAACCGTGAGGTTTGGGAGCTGCTTGACTCAGCAGCATGGCTTGGCCTGGCCTGACTGATAACTGACTCATTCTGGAGCAGCATGAGCAGCCCCAAGCAGGGCTCAGATAAACTGTCAGGCTCAGTGGTCACACTACTCACAGCACGGTCTGAACGATGCTCTGGATCTCCTGCTGCAGCTCTGGCTCCTTCCGGTATGCTTCCAACAGCAGCAGGGCCTGCTCATAGTTGGCACAGTAGACCTTATAGACCTGCTCAAAATCCTCTTGGAATTCCAGGAATAAGTTACCTGACGGCAAACAAGCGAAAGGGGCTTTCAGGGTGTGTGTGTGCGTGTCCTCTTGCTGGGAACAGGTAGGCAGTGAGTGAGCCACCCCTGCTCTGCAGTGAGCCTGCCAGGCTTCACCAGCCTTCGCCTTAAACAGCCTCATCTCCCGAGTTTCTGTTCTTCATCTCAGTTTTATGAATTGCTGAGGGGCTGAGTGGCAGAATGGTGATGAGCATAGGCTGCTGACCCATGCGTACAAGTTAAATATCCTTATGCTTAGAACAGAACCATTTGGAATGTGGGAACTCTTTTCAGATTTTGGAACTGTCACGTGTACATAATGAGATATCTTGGGAATAGGACCAATACTAAACTCAAAAAAGAAAAAAGAAAAAGAAATAAAGAAAGAGCTATTAGGAAGGTATTAGAAATACTCAGATGTTGGAGACCACTACCAAGTGTCTCTGAGCAGGATTTACTATTAACCATTTGGCTTTCTGTGTTTACTTGTGAGTTGCCTGAAGCTTAGGCACCTTGTCTGAAGGTGGGCAGTGGACTCATAGTAAGTAAACCTCTGTGAGTCCCTGGTCACCCTGAGGCCTGTATTGACCTGTGAAGCTGTGAATCCGCAAAGGACAAGATAAGGCCACAGCTGAGGATGTTTGGCTCCAACCCCAGTTAACTACAAGGAGACTGCAGCTGCAAGCTCCACACTCCTACAATAAATACCAACCTAAAGATAAGGTATTTCTCCTGACTGACATACTTGGGAAAATTCTCCCAAGGTCCTGTGAGATTCCTGTGTTTTCTTGAATATTCTCCTCTTTTGTTTACATACTTACTACTTGGGAAAATTCTCCCAAGGTCCTGTGAGATTCCTGTGTTTTCTTGAATATTCTCCTCTTTTGTTTGAAAACCAAATAAATACGAGCTGCCCAGAGACATCTTTGGCTAAACTCAGAGAATATCAAAGCTGTAAGAGAGTGAGACCCAGGGCTGGGAATTTAGCTCAGTGCCACAGCGCCTGCCTGGCAAGCACAAGGTCATGAATTCGATTCCCAGTACCAGAAAAAAAAAAAAAAAAAAAAAAAAAAGGAAAGAGTGAGACCCTCCTGGAGCCTTGAGTTCATTTCAATTGTCTCATTTATCTAAGCCTTCGCAGTCCACTCGCTTGGGAGATTGTGGACCTGATCAGTCTGCAGTAACTAAGGGTTATTTAACCCGATACTCAGACAAGAGAATTTGGTGGCTTTCCAGGGAGGAAGCAGTGAAGGTAAAGAGAACTGTATTAACTACACAGGGCAGATAGGAAGCAGGGACCACAGGAAGTGCAGCTGACCCTACTGTCTGACAGAGACACTGGCTGGGCCTCTGACCAGGACCAGCCTCCCTGGGGGCACAGCAGCTGATGCCCAGAGAAGCACAGTCCAATTAGAAGTCCCCACAGTAGGATTAGCTCCTCAGGACTATGTCCCTTCCCCTGTGTAAGTCCAGCCAATCCTCAGAAATAACTCCCAGGAGCAGCTCCCAGAGCCAGGAAGAACATGACCAGGAAAGATAACCCTAAGCTACAGCTAGGGAGGGTCTGTGCGATTGGAGGAGGTCAGCTGCAAGGTTCCTGCAGAAGTGACCCTGGAGTGAGACAATATGTGTCAAAGAAACTATCTTGCACCAATGTGGCTGGCGCAGGGGTTCTTTGGTCACCGAAGGGCAGAGAAGGTGAACACCCAGAGAGTGAGACATAGAATGCCCAACACACCAAAGTAATGGCTTTTCCTCCCCTCTTGTCCTTTCATTTTGGGGAAGGGGAAAGTCTGTTAAAAGACTGCTCAAACAGCCTTGCCTCAGGCCTAAGAATCTCTTAAAATGCTTTGGCTATCCTTTGGAAAAAAAGGCTTCCCCTGCATAGCAAGAGCTGGCAGGAGCCAAACCAGTGACCCGGCAAGTGGTTGCACTCGAGAGAAAAAACACCATGCGGGCTCTTGTGTCTGTTTTTGGCTAACCAGAAGGGGTGATGGATGAGGAGGGTCTATGGCTTGAATGAATACCCCAAAGTTCATGTGTTGGGAATTTAATCGCCCATGCAACAATGTTGAGAGGTGGCACCTTTAAGAGGCGATGGGGCATGGGGACCCGATGTCTGTGGGCTGGTGCTGCCTCTGGAGTGTTGTGTTTCAGAGATTCTAAAAGCAGATTCTCTCTGAGCTGCACTTCCCTGGCATGCTGGATAGTTCCGCAGTGACCATGAGATGAGGACATTTGCACAGGAAATGAAGACCAACAACCCACTAGGTCTTCCGCTCACCAATCAGGTACACTTGCTCCTCTTCCTGGGACGCTGTCTCCTGCAGACCATGCAGAAATCTGCTGCTCACCTGGACGATCTCATCGATGTTGGAGAACAGGACATCCAGATCTCCCTGCGGCAGCTGAAAAGAACAAAGAAGTCACAGAGGTGGATGGGGGCATCTGACTAAGGGGCTTTATCTGCAGCCTTTGCAAGTGTTTCCGAACTCTCAGCCCACCATGGTCCACTACTCTTGGGAAGACCAACAGCCCCAGTGGAATGTTTGTTAGGATTTAAATCTTACAAGTTAGGTATTTCTACTACTCTACAAAAAGAGAGGAAGACATGGATATTCCGCATGGGAGGAAAGGGCAACTGGGTTTTATCTTAAGCCTGCTGCCAACTGTCATTTTTCTTCTCCCAATTTCCCCATCTGTCATTTGACAGTGGGAAACTTGGTATCTTTCCAGCTCTGATATACTTGGCATCTACCACCACTCCCTGAGGATGCATTCCAAACTCCACACCCTATTGCCAGGCTACACCGCTGTGAAGACAGAGGCAGGGCATCTGTGTACACACATAGGCATGGAAGTATGTGTCAGAGGCACAATCAGGTGGGAAATGTATCTGTAGAGTAATGTCTAGAGTACATTCCTAGTTTTGCTAAAATAAACAACAGCATATGTTGATATATTTTTGGTGCCCTCAGAGAAAAATTCTAAATTCTGAAGGGTGAAGGAAATATTTTACCTTCTACATTGTTTACTTGGTATTTCATTCACTCAAGAATTACTAATTGAAAGTTCAGTATTTATGTGTCAGAACTGGGACTATGTCAAACTAACAGTCTGCCTGTCTGGAACTCACATCCTTGCAATTTTATAGTAAGAGACCTTATTTCTCTAAACTACAAAAAAATGTGAAAAATTAACACCAATAAAAACCTTTGAGAGTTAAACTCTTCATGTCACTACCCTGAAAATGAAACACGCAGAATGTAGGTCAGTTCAAATAATCTGTTCTAAACTGGAATAGAGCTTATGTATTAGCACATTTAAATTTTTTAATAATTCCGTTTATTGGTATAATTTACATATGCATAATGATCATATCCATCATAGGGAATTTGTACCTGTACATGAAATATCTTAGTTCCTGTTTAAATCTTGTTTTTTTTTTTTTTTTTTTTTTTTTTTGTGGTGCTGGGGATGAAACCCAGGACCTTATGCATGAAAGGCAAGACCTCTACCACTGAGCCACACCCCCAGCCCAGCACACTTAACTTTTGATTGTTTCCTCCCCATTTAGCAAATGAATACACTAATGTTGTGCCCTATGAGGCCCTGCTGAAGGTAGCACGGCCAGTAAGCAGTAGTCCTGAGGGTTCCGTCCAGATCTGCCAGACTCCACACTCCTCACACTTCCTGCCTTTAAGTCTGCCCCAGGGACAGACTTAAAGGAAGTGAAGTCTCAGAAGCAGACCCACATTTGCTCCTATAAAGACAGGTTGTGGGTGGCCTTTCTCAAGTACCTGCTGGAGACGGCTCCTGATGTCCGAGGCACAGAGTTGGAGCATGTGCAAATAGGAGACCTCGGTGTCTATGAGCTCCCTGGTGGCCAGGCTCTGATGAAGCAAGGATCTGTCTTCAAGGCTCTGACCTTCGCCAACCAGACTCTCTGAGGAGGGCTCATCTGCCCCACAGTGGGCCATGTCTGCAGGTGCTGGAAAAACAGAACCATCCCAATTCATTTCCAGAGAGGTCTACTGGGAAATGTCCTTCATTTGAAGACAACAATTCATCAACATGCCTGAAAACATCTTTAGCTCCAAACTGTGTTGGATGGACTGTTTAGCACTTATGGGCAGTATTTGGACAGAATGAGGAGGCAATTGCTGACATCAGAGCATTGCTGACATTTTAATTCAGCTTCCTGAAACTCAGACAATGTGCTTCCCTGGCTTTTCTTCTCTTTTCTCCCCAGCTCGTGGCCCAGATTTCTTTATCTGGTTCAGCTCAATTCCCCTTGCCCTCTCTCCCAGTGGCTCCTCCGTCCTACTACCCCGAGAGGACATATAACCTATCACCTGGGCTACTGCCACAGGCCCCATGATCCTCCTCCGAACCCAAGCCTCTCTCTCCCACTGCCAGCAAACACATTCATCTTGGACTTGCTTCCAGGTTAAACTCCCTGAAACAAAGCTTGCGATCACAGTGTTCCCTGTTGTAAGACTTTAATAGCTCCCTGCTGCTCAGCAGCTCATTCAACCTCATTTTCCCCTCCAGCGGGAGAGGGCAGCGCTTTTCTCCACACCTGCAGAGTCATTTCAGCCCTCTTTACTTTTGCACCTGCTGTGCCCCTCCATGTTTCCATCCTCCAACATCATCCTTTCCTGATCCTCCCATTCTCACTCTACTAGCTCTACTTTCTTCTCTCAAACTCTCACTAGCCCTTTATTTCTAAATTTAAAAAAGACGAAGTACATTAGTGTGAACAAAATGACCTGGAAAACCTTCTTACTTCCACTTAAGAGATGCCACAGCAGCTGTAACACACTTCCCTCTCACTGCATTGGCGAACTTGGGAGTGAATAAAGGAAAGTCTGAGAACTGAACCAGGGGGAGCTGAACCACAGCAGGCAGCAGCTGAGCTCATCAGCTGTGGCCTAGAGAGGAGGCGTGGGCAGGGGAAAAAGCATGGCCAGTCTCAGCAAACCCAGAGACAAACTCCTTCATAAACTGGGCTTCCCCAGGGAAATGATGGGTCAGGAAAAAAAATTAGTCCACCCACCCTCACAGGAAGTGGTAAAAATACTTCTTTTTGGTGTGGGCCCTGCATGAGGAAAAAGCATCTCTGAAAATTTGTAAGAGGTATAAGGGTAGAAAATGGGTGACCCCTTTCCTGCCCATCAGAAGAGTAATCACCAGCACTCCCATAAGAAAGACAAATTAACTAAAAGAAAGCATAACAAACGTGCTTGGTTATAGTTTGGGGAGGTTGTTTGTTTTGTTACTAGGGGTTGAACCCAGGGCCTTCGCACTGGGGTACATTCCCCAAACATTTTATTTATTTTATTTTATTTTACTTTATTTCATTTCACTTCATTTCATTTTAAGACAAGGTCTTTCTAAGTCACAAGTGGCCCACACTGAGTTTGAACTTGTGATTATCATGCCTCAGCCTCACAGAATTCTGGGATTACAGGAATGTACCACCACACCTAGCTAGTTGCAGATATTTTGTCATAATTTTATGACACGGGAGCCTTCAGATTAAAGACCCAAAGACTCAGACTGAACTACCCATTTTATGCTTACATCAAGCAATCAGGACAGGCATGTCGAAAGAGGATTAAAACAAAAGGTCTAAGCCAATGCTGCCAACAGACTGAGTGGAGCAACTCCATGAGCATGTCTGTTTAGGTCCTTCTGAGTCTCACTAGGGAACATTCCTTCTTCCCTGTTGGGCAGGACCTTTTCTGGAATGGAGGTTTCAGTACCTACTATCAAACATGGTAGTAGGTCAGAGAACTTCTTTTGGCCAGCTTCTAGACAGAAAGGTAGGGTGGGAAAGGAGAAGTAATATTTTTAGGTTTTCTGGCTGGTTGTGAAGTAAGGGGTTATGTTTTGTGTGACCTGCTGTGGGAAAGAGAAATTCTAGTTTCTGAGGTTTGTCTGAGGGAGAACGAGGAGAAAGAGTAAGAAGGGTAGGAGGGCAGAGAGAAAGTTTGCTTCCGAGGCCTACACTTTGGGGTACCACCTTCTGACCTCCAACACAAGCCAACTGAGCTTTAGGTTTGGATTTATGCCACATGTGTCCCAGTGGCCCAAAGCTGAGACATCCACACAAAAAAGATGCTAGCATATACTCTGCTAAGTGGCCACACCCAGAGACAAATAAAATGTCTCAAGAAAGATTACATCTTTAACCTAGGCCACAGATAACTTTGTTCTGTAAATGAGTTAAGCATTCAAAATTAGAAGAATACCATGGTGAGCAAGCATCAGCAGAAATAACAAACAACAGGATTAGACCCCAAAGTATCAGATAAAAACTAAAAGAATGGGAGAAAAGGAAAGACATTACCAAAGAAAAAAAGACACATATGATTTTGAAAGTGGTAAACGTAACTTATGGAAATTTAAAAATTTAGTCTTTGAAATTAAAAACAGATTTGACAGATTATGAGAACATTTAAGGAAAAAAGGGTAGATAGGTCAGAAGAAATTGCCCGGGCTACTAAACAAGAGAAAAGTATGGAAAATAGTGGAGAAGATTAAAGCATATGGAAACAGATGAAAAAAGTCTAAGTAACAAATGAGTTCTAGAAGGCAAAAATAGAGTGAGAAGAGGTAATATTTGAAGAGAAAAGATTAAGAATTTGTACTAGTCAGGTGTCCATCTCTGGGACATACCTGGAACCCGCAATTTAAAGGGTGAGAGGTTGGACTTGGGTCATGGTTCAGGGGATTCAGTCCACGGTAAACTGGCTCCAGGCAGAAATGGCACAATTGGAAGGGGATAGAAGAGGACAGCTACTCACCTCATGCAGCCAGGAAGCAGAGAGAGCAAGGAGGAGCCTCAGAGGAAGACACACCCTTCAATGGCACAATCCCAGTGACACACCTCTTCCTAGCAGGCCCTCCCTCCTCATAGTACACTTAGCTACGAACACATCAGTGAATTAATCCATATCACCCCCATAACCCAATCACCTTTCAAAAGCCCTACCTTTTCATATATGAGCCTTTGGGGGGCATTTTAAATCTAAACCATAACAAAATTGCTCAGAATTTATAGAAGATGTGAATACTTAGATTTAGGAATTGCAATTCCAAAGCAGACTCAGTTTTTTTAAAAATCCACATCTAAACATGCTGAGGAGAAACTGGAATCCTGAAAGCCTAGGGAATTTATTTCATACACTACTGGGGAATGTGTTACACAAAAACAAAGAAATAAATCAAGAAAGAGGAAGAGACAGAAATCTGGTGATGGAACATCGCAGGGGCCAAAAGAGTTCTAGGACATGTGAAGAGGGAATCTAGGGAATCTTGACTGCAGGCAGCTCCAAGCAGAGGCCAGTCTGGTCTAGAGAACTCCAGAAGGTTCTAGAATGTCTTGAGCACTGATTTGTTGAAATAGTACAGAATTTGGTGTTTAACTAGGGACAATTACACAGATAATACACAGAAAACTAAGAAATCAATCAACCAACAGAAACAAAATAATTGTTGTAATAATTTTTCTGCAGAAAAGATCCTGTCTCATCTCCTGGAGAAAGAAATGTCATAACTGAGGGGTCAAGAGGAATCTAAACAGACAAGTCCTGGGTTTTTCTCCTCAGTCTATTTCCATCAGCCCATACCCTTTTTGTCCAATCATATTTCCACATGGCTGCTATTCCTTCTTCAAACCTAAGCAGAAAATCAGAGAGCTCCCCCTGGGTCTTTGGGTTTCCAAACTGAATGCTTTGTGTCAGGTGAAACTATGATTAAAAACATTTGTTATAGCTTCTTCTAGTGAATTTGTCTGTTGGCACTGTGGTTCAGAAGACTCAAGCCTTTAAAGAGAAAGTTTGAAACTTCTTACATAGGCTTTTTAAGGATATCAGGTGAGTTCTGAAATAATCAGCTAAAAAGATACAAGCAATTGCCCAGTAAGGGCTGGGGCAGGAAGGAATGGGAGGAGGACAATGTTCATTATTTTTCACAACAAACATTCTGGAATTATCTGCCTTAGTTTTTTCATAACAAACAGAAATATTTATCTCTTTAAATTACATGCTTTAATAACTAATGAAAATGAAACACTAAAAGCAAGAAGAAATGAGAATTTCTCAATTTTGCTAGCAATTACTATTCAAAAAATTGTATTCCTATATATTGATAACATTAATAATTATAATTTAAAGGAAGATAAAGCATAATTATAAAAAGCTGTAATAATGTTTATTTCTTAAGTACATTAATTAAGTAAATATGTATGAGATGCTTATGAAGAAAATTATAGTACTTTTTATTAGAATTTAGCTATAATACAGTCTCAAAATTACACTAAAATTTTATATTTTCTTCATAAACATCTCGTACTTATTACTCTTTACTAATTACAAGTAGAGATATAACATGATCATGGAGAGGAAAATTCTGTATCATAAAGATGAAAATTTCCCCAGGCTGATTCAGTACATTTCCAATAACACTCCCAGCCGATTAAAAAACAAAAATATCTTGGTGCCAGGCATGGTAGCACACACCTGTAATCCCAGCACTCTGGGAAGCCAAGGCAGGAGGATAAGTTGAAACCCAACCAGCAATTTAGCAATCTGGGGAGACTGTGTCTCAAAATAAAAAATAAGCAAGGACTGGGGTATAGCTCAGCATGAAGACCCTGGATTCAATCCCTAGTGGTATTAGGGAACAAGAAAAAGAAAAGTAAAGTAAAAGGCTAAGAATGGCTAAGGAAATTCTGAAGAAAAATGTTGAAAGATTTGTTCTGCCGGGTATTGAGACTTATTATAAAGTCATAGTAGTTAAGCATGTGGCACTGACAAAAAGATCAGTGGAACAGATTAGAGCCCAGGAACAGACCGTAGTAAACGGGTAAAGCTGATCTATGACAGAAGTCTCATTTAAGTCACTGGTAAAAGGATGGTCTATGGGATAATGGGATAATTAGCCTCCCATACAGCAAACTAAATAAATGTAACCCTGTATCAC